GGCGTATCATAAAAAAATTTAAGAGGCATTTCAACAATTCAATTTAAATATACTAAACTTACAATAGAAGCCGAGTATATATGTGAACATGTTGGAACATGCATGAACCGAGGATTTTAGTATCATTTGGCGTGTCTAGCTTGCGATGCCGCTGGCAGGCGAAGAAATAATGAAAACAAAATAAGATGGAAAAACATTGGGCTGTTGTGTTGGTGTTTTCGATCTACATGTGTCTCAGGCATGAAATTTTTCAAAATCAAAGCATTCAACGACAATGAATTTGCGTTACTAATATGGCTCTTCTTTGTGTTTGAACTGCGTTGGCACTGTATCATTTAATTTAGGCGAGTTTTGAAAGCGTTACGCGGCAGCGCCAAGATTGGTGTCCTTTAGCCGGGTTCGCTAAAACAAGAGTAGAAACACTAAAAAGTAAAAGTAAAGATTTAAGTAAAACAAAGATTTAAGTCTTCATGTTGTTATCAGATCAGAGCTCAGTGGTTAGAGCGCACGCGCGCAGAGATATATTCGAGCCGCCAAGTTGTCTCTATGACGTAAACTTTTCTACTTTGCTCTGCGAAATGAAATGGGCTTCGCTTTGTCGTGTTTATCACAAGAAAAATGTTCTTACAAAAACATGAAACCGTATTGGATCTCTGAAATTATAATCGTAACTTTGTTTAAAATTATGCCTGCTTCAGGAAATGCCCACAGGGAAGGTGAGTCAACTAGCCAAATGGCTTCCTTGTTTTTCTTTCTCGTGTTTCAGTCGCGCATGCTCTTTTAGAGAGGATCAAAGTGCGCGCTAAAATTAGGCAGTCGCGTTTTATCATTTTAGACCACTGTTTCTTGGTCAAACTCGCCAAAATAATGTATTATGATGTTGCGTAGCCAATACTATGTTAACTTTGATTTAAGTAGTTATGAAACTAGTCGATCGAAAGTGTTTCTTTGCTGGCCGCCCATAGACCTTCAGTCAAGTTGTTTGGATTATTGTTGCCATGGTACCTTAACACACGCTATTATATGGTTCTAGAGCGTGCGAAGCCAAGACTAAAACATTTGACAAGCGAGGCTGTTTCGCACGCCCTACAAGAAGTAAAAAATACATCTAGTACCAAGCAGACTAAGGTACCGCGTTGAAATTAAAAATTATTTCAGAGAGCTTCAGTTTAAAACGCTGAGGGAAAAATAATCAAATAAGAAAATCGGGACTCAAACTTGGATTAACGTCTAATCTTGGCTCAGCTAAGTTTGGTGCGTTGATAAAACCTGCGTGACGGCCAAGCAACACGAAGCTAATTAACGTTGATCCTGGTCAGGCATTAACCCTCACTTTTATTTCCGATTTGATTTGATTTGATTTTGATAAGTTGAAGTCAATGTGATACCCCTAGTGTGTTTTACAGCCTCTCTATTTTTCGGCGCATGCCAAAGAAAAAGCGAGCAAAGCGAGCGCGAAGCACGAGAGGGTAGAGGGGCCGAAAAGGTGAGCGAAGCGGGCCAAACGAAGATCTCGGTCCACACGCCCTGCCCTGTTATGTCTCCCGTTTTGCGCTGACGTACAGTTCTCTCGCAATTCTCTCCACGCATTCAACGATCGAATAATATACGAGAAAATCGAGGGCTGTGAACATCTTTGATACCCTAAGCTGTCTTACCCTATTCCGCTACCGGGGACCTGCGACCCGCGAATTAGATTGGAGAAAATCCTGATTTAAGAGACTCTTTCAAGGGGCAAATCATTTCGATCCCCTGGAGTCCATTTGGATTAACAATAAAGTGTAACGAGTTTTGATTTCTTTCTTGCAACTTACAGGTTGTTTTAATTTCTTTCTTGCAACTTACAGGTTGTGCTTCCTTATGTACATAGCAAGTTGCACTTCTTTTCTTGTTTTATGTATCTCAGGACTACACGTCATTGAAGACACAAAGGGCTCATTCCCCCCCTGGGATTATCATTTCCAGAAATGTCAGCCCCCGTCCACACTACGCCGCCGCAGGGCCGTAGCCAGAAACAAATTATGACAGAGGCAGTGTCCAAGAAATGAGTTGTGACTGATGAGGCAATGTCCATGGATTAATTCTCTTCCTGGGAATTTAGAGTGTTCTTGATGACTATAAACAACAAAAACTAAAAAAATGACTGAGGCAAGTGCCTCGGTTTATCTGTTACTAGCTACGGCCCTGAACGGAGGAATTTGAAAACAGAAGTTTCACTCTCAAAACGTATCAAATGTTCTCGAATTCCGTCCACACTATGCCGGAGGAATTTAAAAACGTATCAGTCACCCGTTATTTTGGATTTGTGTTTGAGGAAACCTCGGGAAATCAGGTGATAATCGTGACTACATCGTTTTCGAAAAGCTCCGTTATCAAAATACTTTCCGTCCTCACGAAAACGAAAAGCCGGCGTTTTTAAATTCCTCCGGTTAATAGAGTGTTTTCGGAAAGCTCCGTTTTCAAAATGCTTTCCGTCCTCACAAAAAGGAAAAGCCGGCGTTTTCAAATTCCTCCGGTTTATAGAGGGTTTTCGGAAAGCTCCATTTTCGTGACGAATTAGTGTGGACGATAGGCCTAACCGTGGAAATAAAGCTGCGTTTTCAAATTTCTCCGGCTTTGTGTGGACGCAGCCTTAGTCACAGAGGTATTGTTCTGAAAATCGAATTTACCCAATCAAACGAATATAAGTCAGCACAACCATTTACATGAAGATCTTCGAAATGAAATAGTGTCGATAAAAGACTGCACTCGGTGTAACCAAGAGACGGAGGAAGTAATATATCAAACACATAAGATCGTGTTTGACCGCACTTCGAAACAACGAGAAAAGAGTAGCAATTACGACGCGTAGCGGAGTAGGTTTAACGAACCTCGAGGTGTTTGGAAATGTTGTCAAACACTGTCTTGAGTGTTCGAGATATCTTCTCGATCAACTGAAGCCAAAACTAAGGGGAAAACAGAGAAATTACATAGATCAGATATGTAAACACCGTCACGGTCTGATTTCTTTTATTTAAACGCAGCGAATTATTAATGAGTATGAGAAGGATAAGGAAGCTGCCGTAATGATTCGATTTGGCGCCTTTCTTCCAACTAGCATCCTTTTACAAAAGCTCCCCACTGAATGCTGTTTGCTTAATGAGCACCCCTCAGTCCCAATAAGGGTCCTCTTCCAAAAGCGCGTCCATATTGAATAGACCGATCAGGCAAATGATTTACGATATCTGCTTTCTCTCCTGAATATGCTATAATAGTGCTATAATCCTTTAAGTGCTATTTTAAAATCCTTTAGAGCGGTTTTCAATTGAGTGTCGTAAAACCAAAACCAAACCACTTACTTATCAAATAGATTACTCAGCCAATCTCAAACTGTAGTAAAACCAAAACCAAAACCAAAGTAATTGTCTGATTACTTTCGACACTCAATTAAAAACCGCTCTAGATTGTTGCTGTTGTTGTCGAAGTTTTATCGCCATGGTTTTAATACTCTAGACTTACAAGGCGAAGGCTTCAAAAGAACCCGTACAGTTATTCGAGCTAAAAGGTTGCAAATAGTCAAGTTCTTAATTAAAGGGTCTTAAATCTGATAAAACTAAAACCTCAGAGGGAAAGGCAATTTTAATTTTGGAATACAGTGAAACCTGTATTAAGCGAACACCCTTGGGACACTCACTAGCGTCCGCTCTAAACAGGTTCTTATATATTGTGCAATAATAGTTAATTATTAACCCTTTTGTAACACTGTAACACAGTGTAAGATGAAAGACTGCTCATAGCACAATGTCCAGTCAGTCAATGCATCAATCTGGAATAATCTACTTAGATTTAAAAGACATCACTAAACAATGTTAAAGAAGTCTGAGCTGAGGGTTTAGAAGTGCAACAGAAGGCTGGCTTAATATTGGTGCCCGCGTCCGCTTAACAGAGGTGTCCGCTGAATGAAGGTTTATTCTGCAGTAAATGTGGGAAGAAAATTTAGGGACTCAAGCTGGTGTCCACTTAATGGAGGGTGTCCGCTTAATATCGGGTCCGCTTAATACAGATTTCACTGTCATGACCATACATTTACGTCACATGAAAACCGGTAATTCTTATTTGCTTTGGTTTTCCATTATTGAGCCAAGCGACTGGCTTAAAAAAACTCGCAGCACTCCGCTCTTTTTTACCCAATCAGAGGTAAAACAAAAACCAATCGTGGTTCGCTCGAACAAATTTTTCCGCGTTTTGCGTCGGCAACATGTATTTTGGAAATTTCATTGGTTCAATGGATCGCCCGCGTCCTTTTTGATTAGCCAGAGTGATCACTTTGGTTTTAATAGGCTTTTGCAACAACTGGTAACGTGACAGATAATTTCTAAACTTTTACCTACAGTTAAATAAAATTCAGAACTGGGAAAAGTGTATTTTAAATAGCCAGAACATGAAGTCTAAGACCAACGCCGCGCAAGGTTGAGATTCAATGAAGATCTGAATATTGCAAAAATTAGAAGGTTTTGTATGGAAGCGAGCAAGCAGATTCGAAGCAAAACAGGCTACTCTCCATTATGTCCTATAGGAAGCAATGATTCCCAATCCGCTTGCAGGGCTCTCCAGATCCAACCAGCTCTGACATCACTTGAAATGTATTCCTGAATTCGTCGATGTTCACATAGGCACCCTAGAAATAGAAGGAATTTTTTTTTTTTCAAAACGTACAACCAATGCTCGAAACTGTTACACAGATAATTCAAAGTCTGACCCTCTTGTATACATATATGAAAGGCCTGGTTCACACTAGCACAAACGACATAATGACATAGCGACATAACAGCTTATGTCACAATGCGAACATCGACTTAAAAGCATAAGGAAAAGATCAATTTTTTCCTTGTCTTAATGTTCATACTGTTATGTTACTATTATGTTATGTCAGAATGTTCACACTGCATAAATAATGACGTAACGTCCTTCCCATGTCATTATGTTTATGTCGTTATGTCGTCATGTCGCTAGTGCATGAACTAGGCCTAAGCAATAACTGCCATTTGGGGAAAGAATACCCATGAACATTTGTCAGCAGACATTGTCTGCTCCACGTGGTCAACAGCTCAGTCCGAGAACAAGGCTCGAATAAAACCGTGATCTTCGAGGAACAAAAATGTCCGAGGAAAGATACCCGTGATTAGTTTTCGAGCCAAATGAGGATTGCTGCGTTTATTACCCTTCAAACATTGGAAACATTTCACGTTATAATTGTCTCTCACTCGAAGGAGAAACTGTATGTCAATCGCGATATACAGTGATGTTCGTTTTACCACTGAAACGGGGTAATAACTGATCTTTTAGCACATCAGANACGTTATAATTGTCTCTCACTCGAAGGAGAAACTGTATGTCAATCGCGAGATACAGTGATGTTCGTTTTACCACTGAAACGGGGTAATAACTGATCTTTTAGCACATCAGATGCGACTGCTATCAGTATATTCGTATTCTCGCGCGGTATTGGACTGGATCTAGCTTGCAACTGAGGCTAACGCAGGAAGTATTTTCAAATGTAAATCACATTCATCTCTTTTTAATGATTTTCCCCGCAGGAGCCTCCATTTCAAGCTAGTTCCAATCCGATATCGAGAATACGAATACGGTCTATTATTTCCCAGGGAATCAATCTCGGTCGTTTTCCTCGAGTATTCAATGACAACAAAACACAGACTACATGTGGTAAAAAAAAGGCGATTACTTCTGCATACGAGCCCAAGTGAACCCGGACCGCTCAATCCGGAATCGAGCGCTCTTACCATGAGGACACCGCACCTCCACCAGACGAAATATACATACCCTAAAAAACCTCATTCCTCCATTTAAAGTAAATGCTTTCCTTCCATGAAGCACACGTCGGTTATTAAAACATACTAGGTCTCCGGGCTGCATTTTCACCGATTTCTAATAAAATAAAAACCACGCGAAAACGATCACTTTAGTGTTTCCAAAAAGTTTGTTTCAAATCAATTAACGCCATTCACAGAGCGGTTTTCAATTGAGTGTCGTAAAACCTAAACTAAAGTAATCACTCCAGCCAATCACAAAGGACTCACACAATACAGTAAACCAATCAAAATTCGAAGGAATTACATGTAGCTGACGTAAAGCGCGGCAAAACGAGCGCGAACGAGTCACGATTGGTTTTGGTTTTACTTCTGATTGGACGAAAAAGTGCGCGAGTTTTCTGAGCCAATCGTGTAGCGTAGTAAGTGCAAAACCAATTACTTTTCGACACTCAAATGAAAACCGCGCTAGCGGCTTGAAATGACCTCCTGAAAAGTGAACACAACCTGAAGGCGAGAGTGCCTGGAAAACAGACGGTCTGGTTAGATACCTGCATTGGCGATTCATCAAGGAGCTTCGTAAATGTCCTGTATGCTTCAAAGTATGGCTCAACATCTTCCTGTGAAAGAATTATTAGGTCAAGATACTGTAAAAAAGTTACAACCCCTAGAATCAAGTGCAGGGATCTAAAGTTTGAGACGCATTATGATTGGGGTAAAAAGTGTGCGTTCACTTTAAATAAAATCATAAAATAATTATTACGTATTTTAATAGCATATCTCAAAGAAATGCATGTATCTACATATACATGTACATAGAGCGCTAGCTACGGATTAGATAACCTTTATTAGTAGTAGTCATCGTAGCTTGTACAAAACCCGACATTCAAGGCGACAAACTTCTACCCAGCAGCCTGTTCGGAACACCCACGGAAACGAGATCACACCAGCAAAATTTGGACGTAAGGGTAGAAAACTGGGTTGTAACCCATTTGGTGCTGCAAGGCCGTAGTGCGAACGGAGTCGGTAGATAAAACCCTAGCATGTGACCATGCGTAATTTTAGAGCTGTCGAGCAGCACGCGAGAGTGGTGCCGTTTGTTTTGCAATATGCTAGAAAAAAATCTTGTTTCTGTCAATTTTCAACTCTTGTGTGTGGTGCAGATATACATGGCCATTCGTACCTCTGGTACTGAAAGGGTCCCTTCAAAAGCAGGCGACCAATTAACAGCCACAATCTGTAAGAAGAGAAAGTTTGAGGAAAAGTAAATTAAATCAATTCAAAGCAAAGATATGTTGGCACATACCTTATCTCAGGGAAGGACTCTCTTCAGATAATATCATCGACATCAGCACTTCGACATTCTGATCTTCCCTATAATTTGCCTTAAAGGGGAGTAGCTCAATTACGTTATTTTGAGTTATTTCGGCCACCTAATAAATTACCGATAAAATGAACGGGAAACCTGAAAATAATAGTTTACTACAAAAGAAAAGCACTTTTAAACAGATACCAATAAACTATAAAGGAACAAGGATGATCAAGGATGGAGAAGATTGACACGGATTACAAACGACGAACTTAAAAAATTTAGGCTAAACTTTACGAGATGTGCAAACCGTGACGTATCTCCTTTAATTGGACGAAACAATAACATTAAGTGAGTTACGCCAATATTAAAGATGAAATGTTCGTTATGTCACGTCCCCGAAGGGGACTCGATTTAATGAACTTCCAGATACCCAGTGGTTGGGCGCTCTCAGTAACCAATGATCTACTACAGCGACTCTTGGTGAGCTAGACCATTTACTACGTTCACACAGTGTACGTGACACACGTCCTTCATTCTGCCAGGATCAACGTCGACAACATTCAGTGTAGAGAAAAAGAAAGAAAGAGGGCAAGAGGTTTTAAATTTTAAGCTCAGTGAAGACATGGTTAAGATGAAAATGCTCGCTAGGCTGCAGCTAAAGAAATATATTCTACCGCACCTCTTTGTCAGGGTTAAGAACAATGTGTGGCCTCTTGTACACTAGTTTGACTGGATAATCCCTAGAGAAAAAAATGAAACAAATAAAACATACGAGAAATCGGCCATGGCAAGTATTTCCTCCCAAAAACTGTGGCTCGACAATGGAACCAACGTGCAACAAAACAGGTTCGGGCCACTGAACATTAAATTACATTATACAGCCAACCCCAGAAAATGGGATCTTAAATCAGAGAGAAGCAAACAAGCGTGTACCTTTCAAAGTGTATTTTTTGAAATGTTCCTGGTATTCGCACAAGATTTTCAAACTGTTCAGGAAACTGCTTTCTGAATTCCTCAGCAACATGGAAAGAATCTAAAAACAAGCTCTCTCCTCCTTCGACCTCAGGATCGTACCTGCACA